CAAGGATATTATAAGAGCCAGAAAGGTTGCAAAGAGCTCATTTTTAGCTTTTTAGCTTTAACCAATCAGAGCAGTCACTCTCAACTTGGTAGCTTCCAAATGTCTTCTCACACTGTAATTCACATTATCCCTGAGCACTGATCCTACTGGCTGGGGATGATGGGAAATGCAGTCCAGTGTTTTCTGGCTGTTCCCCAAATGTGCTCGGTAGGTGGGGAGGGGCAACAATGAATTTGGTTCACATTTTAATATTACTGTACCTTGTTTTGCACTTTCAAACTAATCCATAATTTGAAATTGAGTTATCCTTTGAAAAATGTACTTCTCTAAATTATACAATGTAGTTCTCCAATTAAAAACATGCAGATATTGGAGAAAATGTTCACAAAATATGTATGTAGGAAAAATAATGTACAGAAAGCACTGTATTAAGTAATGCTGCTTGCAAGAATATGTATCTTAAGCAAAAATTACTTGAAACATGCATATATTAGGAAAAACTTTGTGGGGAATGCACATGAAATTTTCATGCGACCTAATTTTTAAAAATTTCACACTGGTGCAGAAATAGGATGGAAAGGCCTGGAAGAAGGAGAAACTGAAAGTAGCTGATTTGTCTATCCCTAGCGATGCGCAGAGAAACCTTTTTATTCTCATCATTGCTAGGAATGGAAGTAGGTCATCTATTTTGGTTTACAGGCTGGGGGAGTAAACAAATAAGCAGGAAAACAAGAGGTAAGAAATGTCTATCCTTGTTGCTGATAAGAGAGGAGAAGTAGCTAAGAGTTTCAGAACATCTTATGTCCACAAGCATCATTCCTTGTGAACTATAGCACTATAGATAGAGGGAGAGAGCCGGGCAGAGCTGTGATGGGACACCTTCAGTTTCACCTGGGTTTTGGTAATACTGCAATTTAGCATTCAATCACAATAATCTTTTTTTTAAAAAAAAAAAATACAGCCTTAATTGTATTGTCACTGGGGTACTGCAGGGATGCACTGCAGTTAGGGAAGGAGATGAATGAAAAGAACAGACCAAGAATATAGTGTGGATGTCAGGTGATAAAAGATAGGCTCATGTTTGGATCCAGGTAGAACCAACATTGAGCAGGACTTAGGAGGCCAGAAAGAAGTGAAGCAACATGCAGTAGCAGACCCCAGGTAGAAGGACCATAAGATGCATCACACGGACTTAAGAAGCCTTGAAGAGAAGCACAGTTCAAAAGCTGAGAAGGCCCTTTCCCAACAGTCCCAACTGATCCTTTTGACAGCAACACCAATGACTCAGAGTGTCATTCAGAGTGTCTCAACTTTTCAAACAGTTTTCAGTACTCCCTCCCCCAGACTGAACAACATAATTCCTGGAACCCACAGGAAAATCCCATATGTAAAAGAACACTGGGTGGTTACAAACAGCAGGCTTTGACTCTGAACCTTCTCCTCTACTCATAAAATACTGTGATTGAACAATAAGGCATAGCAATTAAACTGTTACCTAGAAGCCATTGCAGAGATAGGACTTTGCTAGAATTGGGCCATTTGCATTCCCCAAGGGGGGAAGGGGAAGAAATGACCAGCCCAGACCAGTGAAAATTAGCCCAAGCTTCAATACCTAAAATCTCTTTAGATCTAAAGCTACACTTGGTTCAGCCTGACCTGGGTTTGAACTACACCTTCACAATAAGGAAAAGAAGATGTATTTACAGTGGTTGAGCTGCAAATGGGTGCAAGGTCATTTCTAACATACTGTACATTCCAAGTTACAATGCTTTTTTCCCCTTTGTTTTAATCTAATGACTCTGTGTGTGCGTGCACAATGCTACTGTGCGCAAGTCAGGGGCTGAGTGCTATGCCACATGGTGGGAACATCATGCCTTGCTCCTGGAACCCTAGTTTTTAAAGGATTTTATGCACATCTTGGGATGTATGAATTAATTAAGCTTTCATTAATCAATTAATCAAATTTAATTTTACACACCTGCACATATATACAGAGACACAAAGGAGGAGAAATATTTTAAAGTACAATTAATTGATTGATTGATTGATTGATTGATTGATTGATTGATTGATTGATTGATTTATTTATTTATTTATTTATTTATTTATTTATTTATTTATTTATTTATTTTATATGCC